GTGAAGCAAGTACCACTCAACACGCTGATTGGAGATCTCTCATCGCTGGGCGTTGCAGCTGAGTTTAAGCTCGGCAGGATCGACACCAAGGTGATGCTGCGAACAAAAGCGGAGTACGAAGTGGCCGTGAAATATCTGAAGGATTCCAAGGCGGGATTCTTCACGCACGACATCCCCTTCAAGGTAGTCATCAGGGGTCTACCAAACTTGGACCCCAAGATGGTCGAAGCTGAAATCAACCGGTACAAAGCCCCAAGCCCCAATCGCTGTATTCCGAATGACAAGGAGAGACGAAAACGTGAAGACGTACCCGGATTGCCTCTTCCTGGTGCACTTCCAGAAAGGGACGGTGACTCTCAATGTTCTGCAAGCCATCCGATCGATCTACTCCATCATCGTACGATGGGAGCCATACCGTGGCGGCCATCGTGACGTAACGCAGTGCCAGCGGTGCCTCCATTTTGGACACGGTACCCGCAACTGCAACATCAAGCCTCGCTGCAGCAACTGCGCTCACGAACATGCTACTTCTGATTGCTGCATTTCGGACGGAGGATTTCCCGCCTCTTCGTGCTCCTCAGCAAAGGCAAGCAAATTCGCGGGTGCATCCCACTCAAGCAACTTCCGGTGATTCTGCTGGTCATAGCTCACCATCCCCCCTGGATTCTGGAGACAACCAACAGCGCAAAACAACAGCCTTGATCTGTTCTCTGCGGATGATCTGATGGAAATTTTTGTCAACATGTCCGGTGCTCTTCGTAAGTGCCGCAATAAGCCCGAACAGATCCAAGTGCTCTGTAAGTTCATCATCCAGTATGGCGTCTAAACCGCTAACTATTGTCACCAGGAATGCTTGCTTTGTAAGAGCAAAAAAGATTGAGCTTGCCAACTTCCTCCGCAAGCACAGCATTGACGTGGGCCTTCTAACCGAGACCCATCTAAAGTCCGGCGACAGCTTCTGGTTACCTGACCATAACATTATTCGGCTTGATCGCACCAGCTCCAGGGGGGTGGTGTTGCGGTCGTCGTCAAGAAAGGAATAAAGTACCACATTCTGTCCCATATCCGCACCTCTATCATCGAGGCCCTTGGTGTGGAGGTGGAGTCGTCTACTGCCCTCGACAGTGTGCCGCCAACAGTGGACTAGCGGCTAAATTTAAGAAGGACTTGTCCACTATCACCCGTACCGCTTCCCGCTTCGTAGTTGGAGGAGATCTGAATGCTCGCCATGAGGCCTGGCGGAACTACCAGCAGAACCAGAACGGTCGTCTCCTGTTCGACCACTCAAAACATGGGCTGTACTCCGTTTGGTTTTCGGATGAGCCAACATTCATCTCACCGGCGGGCAACCCCACGCTTCCTGACAAATATTGGCTTGTCCTAGCCGGTAGCCTTGAACGAACTCATCTCCGACCACCAACCGGTTGTGGCTGAACTAGGCTGCAACGTGGCTCCTGCTTCAAGCCTGCGCAAGGACTACCATCGCGTTAACTGGGCCCAGTTTGGACGCGTGGTAGACAGGCACATCATCGACAACCCGCCGCTTGACACCGTGGAGGACATCGACCGAGCGTTGGAGGGACTCCACCAAGCCATAACCGTGGCTGACGAGGCGTGCATCCCTCAAGTTTCTGTGAGGGGTAAGTTTATTTCCATTGATTCCCACACCCAACTTTTGATTTGCCTGAGAAATGTTCGTAGACGCCAGTTTCAGAGGACTGGAGATCTGGGCAAAAAACGTGAAATGGCTGATCTGAACAGACAGATTGCTTCCAGAATGGACTCACTCCGAAATGAAAGTTTCGGGCGTGTTGTCCAGAATCTGGACGACCGCTCTAAACCATTCTGGAAGGTAGCCAAGGTCCTGAAAACTCATCCCAAACCCGTTCCACCTCTCAGAGTCGAAAATGATGACGATCGGCTTTTAATCACCCCACAGGAGAAAGCAAATGCGATCGGCAAGCATGTCGCTTCATAGCATTTGCTTGGCTCGACTATCCAAAGTCCGCTCGATGATCAGGTTGCGCAATGCGTTCAATCCTAGATACCTCCCCTTGTGTCGTGCCTCCGGAGGATATGAGTACAGTACAACAGATTTGCTCAGCGCTGAAATGCACCAAGAACATGAAGGCTCCCGGGTTTGACGGTATATTCAATTTGATCTTGAAGAGACTAAGCATGAAATTGCAGTCTCTTCTAACCGCTATCTTCAACAGATGCTTGGAACTGCACTACTTTTCAAGCATCTGGAAAGTAGCAAAAATCATACCAATCCGCAAGCCCGGTAAGGATCCAACATTGCCTTCAAGCTACAGACCAATCAGCCTCCTTTCAGCGCTGAGCAAATTGTTCGAGAAACTCATTCTCAATCGTTTGCTCAAGTTTGTCGAGGAAAATAACATTCTCCTTGCGGAACAGTTTGGGTTCAGAAAGGGGCACTCCACCAATCACCAGCTAGTGCGGGTGATGAATAACATCCGAAGTAACAAAGCTGTATTCAAGTCCACAGCCATGGCCTTGTTAGACGTTGAAAAGGCGTTTGACAATGTTTGGCATGATCGACTTGTGTACAAGCTTTGTAACTTCAACTTTCCTTTATATCTGGTTAAAATCACCCGTAACTACCTCCAGCAAAGGTCGTTGAATGGTTGTCTTTCAGACACGTTTTCCATCCCAGCAGGTGTCCCGCAAGGCAGCCTTGCTTTACAGCATTTATACTTCTGACATTCCTCCCCTCGGTGACGGTTGCGTGTTTTTCCTGTTTGCAGATGATACCGCAATAGCCGTCAAAGGAAGGATACCTCGCGAAATAACGAACAAACTTCAACGCTGCCTTAACGCCTTTGCTGATTATGCCACCACGTGGAAAATCAAAATCAATGCCTCCAAAACACAAGCGATCATGTTCCTCCATCGGCAATCGCCCAAACTAAAACCGGCTCCATCTTGTACTGTAATCAAGGATGGCACAAGGGTTGAGTGGTCTGCCGAAGTAATCTATCTCGGGATGTTGTTCGATAAAAAGCTCCTCTTCCGTTCGCATGTAGAGAATACAGTAGTCAAGTGTTCTACCTTGGTTAGGTGTCTGTATCCGCTGATTTGCCGCAGATCCCGCCTCTCAAGGGTGAACAAACTGGCTGTCTACAAACAATTCATAGCACCTGCGATCCTCTACGCAGCTCCGGTGTGGGAATCATGTGCTCAGACCCACAGGAACAAAATTCAGGTCGCTCAGAATAGAGTGCTGAGGATGGTACTTGATCGTCCTTTCGACACTAGAATAACAAATTTACACGAAGAGGCAGGCATTGCCAAAATAGATTCCAAAATTAACGAAATTAAGACTAAATTTGCACAAAATTGTTATTATCAGAACATGCTTTGATAAGCAATTTGTATATAGTAGATTAGGTGTATATAGTAGTTGTAGGTTAGTTGTAGTTGTAAAACATAAACTTTTCATGTATCTATGAGCCACGCATCATTGTAGACGAAGTAGTTTTTCACGTTTAATTGTGTTTGTTTACCAAATTAATTATCCGTCTGTGCCGATTTCAATCACGAAATGTCGTAGTTGTGTATAAAAGCTGAAGTTTTCGTCGTGAATTTTTGATTGGAAGTGATTTTGGGCTTTTTATGTGCCAACGCAGTGAAGTGTTCTTTGTGTATTGTTTGATTCCTCCGACGCGCCATTCATCTAACCTCCACGTCGATTTTTCCGAGAAAAGCGCCATCTGCCTGAGAGTAGCGGACAATCGTTTTCATAGCAGTATTCATACCCACACGTACCACTACATCGACTCGTGCAGCCCGTGAAGAATAGCCAAAGGCGTAACACATCATACACCATAGACAAACATAGCTTCAAGTCATGGAGAATTGCAACGTATGCAACAAAACGTTAAGCTCAAGCAAGTTGATAGTTTGCAGTGGATCATGAAACCCTCGATACCATCCAAGCTGTGTAGGAGTGAACAGAAGTCATCTTGCGTCATGGTCTGCTCAAGTGGGACTCCTATGGTTCTGTCAGGCTTGTCGACTGAACTTCGAGCCTGCTGTTTATGACCGTGACAAGATCATCATGAAGGCATTACGTGAGCTTCTCGTCAGGATGGATTCGATGGACACAAGACTGGGAAACTATGGAGAGAATCTTCGAACCATTAACGGAATTCTTTTTGACCAGAAGAAAAGAGCATCCAACCTTTCGTTGGATCAAGCCACCTTTCACAGGACAATCGATCAACTCACACTTGATGATTCGGTTGATCCTCTCGATCGTTCCAGATCATGCGATGATACCTCTTTCTTCGAGGTTCTCGATGATATTAACAGTACCATTCATCAACCAGCTGACAATTTCATCGTTGGTAACAAACGTGTGCAAATCGTATGTTGAAATTCCAAAAGCACCTCGTCTCAACAATCAAATCTGAAGTCCACCGACACCGGTGCCACTGCTAACGCCACTGCTGATTCGAGACCAGTTACATCTGCTAATCCTCCCAATCAAACAACAAACCTGATGAACTCCACTTCAATTACATCTCAGCAACAAACCACTGGGCAACCTGGACCATTATCCGTATCAACCGGTTTCAATTCACTCAAGGTTGCTCGAAAAGAGCCTCAGCTGAAAATTGACGAACACCAAGTTGCATACTACGTGACACCTTTCGCACCAGATCAAACCGAAGTAGCTATTCGGGATCACATCTGTGATATTGCCAACGTCGACCCCTCCATGGTGAAAGTAGTAAAGCTAATTCCCAGGGGTAAGGATCAGCGTGATCTAACATTTGTGTCCTTCAAAGCCCCTGTACCAAGGAACGCTCAAACCGTCGTTGAGGATACATGGTACTGGCCAGAAGGAGTCGAAATCCGAACCTTCGAATCTCGTGAAAAAAACTACTCGAGCTCGCGATCATCAGGAAACACTTGATTGACAAGTAACGTGTTACCGCTGCACACACCTGTACCAATACTTACAAGTTGCTCACATCGGACGTCGTCGTACTCAATGTTCCTGTCAATCCAGTACGCACTGCCTGTCACCTTATGGAAGCCCCTAAGCCTATCGACCCAGTCGCGCTTGCTGGTTCCTGTCATCTTAGCCGTTCTGGACCTGCGGTCGAAAATGGTGATGGGGGCTTCCAACCTCCTTTTTCAGGCAAGTATGTGTTCGATAGAATCATTCCATTGCCTGATGACTTTTCGTGTTCCAGCAAAGCTTATCATCACACGAATAAACTCTCCAAACCAGAATGCACGGCCTGTTGCCTAATGGAAGCCCCTGATCCACTCGACTCAGTCGCGCTAGCTGGTTGCTGCCATCGTAGACGTTCTGGCCCTGCAGTTGAGCCTGGTGACGGGGTCTTCCAACCTTCCACTTCAGAAGGATTGCAAGAACACTGCATCTTGCCTTCGCCTGACGATATTGGATGCAGACACGGCGAACCCAGTGAATGTTCTACTCCATGCATCGATGACATCTCTAATGGCCTATCACCGATACCAGAACGCACTGCCTATTGCGTTATGGAAGCCCCTAGCCCTCTTGACCCAGTCGTGCTTGCTGGTTCCAGTCGCCTCAGTCGTTCTGGCCCTGTGGTTGAGAGTGGTGACGGGGTCTTCCAACCTCCTAACACTGGCAAGTATGCGTTTAATAGAACTGTTCCATTGCCTGATGTGTCTGCATGTTCCAGCTCAGCAACTCGCCACTCTGATGATCTCCACCAAAACTTGCGAATCTACTACCAGAACGTGCGTGGACTAAGGACAAAAATTGACGACTTCTACCTGGCTGTTGGCGAAAAAGAATACGATGTCATTGTTTTGACGGAAACGTGGCTTGACGAGTGCATCTTTTCATCGCAGCTATTCGGGAATAATTTTTCTGTCTTTAGAACTGACCGCCAACCACTCAACAGTAAAAAAAAATCGAGGAGGTGGAGTTCTCATAGCTGTTTCTACACATCTTAGTAGCTGTTTAGATTCATCAACCATTTGCAAATCACTAGAGCAAATTTTGGTGAGAATTGATATGAATGGTTGCATCATCAGCGTCGGAGTTATTTATATTCCACCCGATCGGAAAAACGATCTCAACGATATTCAACTGCACATAGACTCAATTGGTGCGGTCGCCGCTGGTCTAGGAGCTAACGACATGGCTCTTCAGTTTGGCGATTACAATCATTCAGACGTATTTTGGATATCAAATGAAAACGGTTACTCTTCTGCGGACATGGATCGTTCCCGTCTTTCAACCGCCAGCTGCGCATTGGTGGACGGATTCAACTTGCATGGATTATCGCAGCTCAACCAGATTGCAAATTCAAAAGGCCGCATCCTCGATCTTATACTTGCAAATGACATCGCTTTGCCTAATGGTACGGTTTCAGAAGCCATCGAACCACTGACTTCTATTGATATTCATCATCCAGCCATAGAGGTTGCATTATCCCATACGGTCCCAGTTTCATACGAAGCGGTGCATGATAACACCAGTTTCAATTTCCGAAAGGCTGATTTTGCTGCGATGAATCAAGCTCTACTTGCTATCGATTGGAGTTACCTTAATTCATTCCAGAACTTGGATGATGCTGTGGATTTTTTCACGAACGCTGTAAGCAGTATTATCGCTGAACATGTACCTCTTGCTGGAGCTGCACAGAAACCACCCTGGTCAACCAATCGCTTGCGAATGCTTAAACGCCACCGTTCTTCGGCCCTTCGAAAATATTGCAGCAGTCGTTCGTTGCACTTAAAACTACAGTTCAATCGTGCAAGCCGAGCATACAGGAACCACAACCGTTTCTTGTACGCTCGGTACATAATTCGGATGCAGCGCAACCTACGTACCAACCCGAAGCAATTTTGGTCGTTTGTCAAATCTAAACGTAGCGAAGAGGGTCTTCCTTCGTCAATGTATCTAGGAAATCTCTCTGCTGACGCAACTGCTGAAAAATGTGAACTCTTTGCATCCCAATTCAAAGTGTCCTTCAATAATTTCGCTGCGCAACCTGCTCAAGTTGAAGAGGCAGTTCGAGATACTCCACAGAACGTCTTGGACTTCGACAATTTCTACATCGATGAAAATGAGGTTGCGAGGGCAATAAGTAAACTGAAATTCTCGCTATCTGTTGGACCTGACGGAATTCCTTCAGCGATGCTGAAAAGATGTACTTCTGCGCTATGTCAACCTTTGATGAAACTCTTCAACCTTTCGTTTCAACAAGGAGTGTTTCCCTCGAATTGGAAATCATCATTCTTGTTTCCAGTTTTCAAAAAGGGGGATAAACGAGATGTCAGCAATTACCGTGGCATAACCTCCTTGTGTGCATGTTCAAAGGTATTTGAAATCATCGTGAACGACGTTCTTTTTGCCCGCTCTAAACATTACATTTCGGTTGATCAGCATGGATTCTATCCAAAAAGGTCGGTTGCTACAAACCTTGCTGAATTTACCTCTCTGTGCATTAAAGCAGTCGATTCTGGGAAGCAGGTGGACGCTGTCTACATGGACCTGAAGGCTGCTTTCGATCGGGTTGATCATAACATCCTTCTGAAGAAGCTGGAGAAGATTGGTGTAACGTCTGCTTCAGTGGATTGGTTCAGGTCGTACCTAACCAACAGATCCTTGTGTGTAAAAATCGGTTCAAGTCAATCGGAGATGTTCGTTAATCAATCTGGCGTACCACAAGGGAGCAACCTGGGACCACTGTTGTTTTCCTTGTTTATCAACGATGTGTCACTGATTCTGCCACCGGGAGTGCGACTTTTCTATGCTGATGATGCTAAAGTCTACGTCATTGTAAACAGCTTTGAAGACTGTCTCGAACTGCAGAATATCTTGAATTCCTTCGAAAACTGGTGCACAAGGAACTGTATGACTCTCAGCATCGAGAAATGTCAGGTAATCACGTTCAGCAGAAAGTTCAAGCCAATCGTATATCCATACTCGTTATCCGGGCAACCTCTAGCGCGGGTACAACGTATTCGAGACTTGGGAGTTAGTCTCGATCAAGAACTCACTTTCCGGTTCCACTATGATGACATCATCTCTAGATCAAACAGGCAGCTTGGATTCATTATGAAAATTGCTAGTGGATTTCGTGATGTTTTCTGTTTGAGGTCATTGTACTGTGCTCTAGTACGGTCAATTCTGGAATTTTGAGCAATCGTTTGGTGTCCTTATCACGATAGTTGGATTACACGAATCGAATCTGTACAGAGGAAGTTTGTACGTTATGCTTTCATGAACCTTCCATGGCGTCATCCTCAGCATCTGACACCATACCAGGATCGTTGTCAACTACTCGGAATAGAAACGCTGAAAAATAGACGTCAAGTTGCTCAAGCGATGTTCGTCGTTAAAATCCTCAGGAATGACATTGATTCACCATCCTTACTAGCAAGAATGAATATCTACGCCCCCGAACGTTTACTACGACGACGAAATTTCCTACAGTTTGAACCCCGCAATACCCTATATGGACAGCATGATCCGGTTAGATTTATGTCAGCTACCTTTGATGAAGCTTTTCATTTATTCGACTTCAACGTACCGGTGTCCACGCTGCAACGACGGTTTACTGACTATTTTCGTAATACTTGACTAAATTTGTGTAATTTTATTTATGTATATTTGTATGAACCCTACATTATGTTATTCATTAAGACAAAAAAGTGTCAGATGAATTATATCAAATAATAATAATAATAATAAATAGTAGTTATAAGTAGTCTTCTTCTTCAAATTTAAAACAAACCAATCCCACCAAGGTGGTCATTCTTAAAACAGGCCTGATAGGACTAGGAACTGTAATTAATAATAATTGAAATATCAAAAGAACTAAAGTTGAAAAGACGCATCTGTGTCACTTGATAAGTAATACATGTAAACCACACGCTATGTTTGAAGGCACTTTTTTTGCAACTTTCATGTACCTCAGTTTTTTCTTCACAGGAAGTTAGTATTGATCCTAACAATCATTTTTGTGAAGGTTTTAAAATAGTTTATCTTGGGTTTTTTGAGAAAAAGTGTTGTGAAGTTTACTAAGCCGTTTACAAAGGTGTATGCGGACTGTTGATGATACAAAACTTTTACGGATCGAAACAAATTCAGCTGAAAATGATTCAAAAAGGGATTGAAGTAGTCAAAATACTAAGATTCAATGATGCAGTAAGATTCCCTTTTCGGAACCGTAAGATATCATAGCTTTGTCATGATCTCATAATGTTTAAATTTATTAATAAAATAATTAAACAATGGTTTAGTCCCTAAATTTACTATTATTCTGCCATTCCATGGCAAAAGGATATAGTGGATTTCAGAATATGCACACTTAGAAATACCCAATTTTACACGTGACGGAATCCATTTTTGACATACAGGATGAGACGTAAAAAAAAAACATGTCATGTAAAATTAAGTGCTCAGAGACTGAAAATTTCGAAAGTACGTTTGATTGAGCTGAATTTCGCGTCTATTATGACTCAATTTTATGTCAAAATTGACGCTCGTATATGTGTATATTTCCTCACGTTTAAAAAAACTTTTTACAGAGCATCATTGAAATTTATATAATGTTGCTATAGTTCACAGAACTCTCTTGAACTTCGTTGAACTTACCAGGAGGACATTGAACTCCCCTGAAGGTCACAAAACGTCCCTGAAGTTCACAGAATTTTCCTCAAGTTTTTAGAACTTCTTTTCTAAAGATCAAAGCACATCTTTTTAGTTTCAATCAAGGTTGCAAACAGGCTTGTAATTGCTCATTACAGCTAAAATGCTATTTTTCGTAATTATGAAACTATGAGATACTATAATGATAACTTTAATTTGTAAGAAGCAAGAAGAGGTGGAAAAGTTGGTGTAACTAACGATTTTATGATCGCTGATTGCTCGCTCATCGCGTTGCTCATCGTTACAGCTAATCGCTAGTTGTGACCTTCTGATAGCAAAACTGACAAATTTTATATGTCATACACAAACTTTTCCACCTCTTCTTGCTTCTTACAAATTAAAATTATCATTATAGTATCTCATAGTTTCATAATTACGAAAAATAGCATTTTAGCTGTAATGAGCAATTACAAGCCTGGTTGCAAATACTCATTTCAGCTAAAACAATGTTTTTTTTTAATTATGAAATAATTAGATGCCATGATCATATTTTGAATTGGTAGGATACAAAAAGAGGTTGCAAAGAATGTGTTGCACTTCATGAGAGTCACAATCAGCGATTTTTCACACACTCACTCACTCACTCACTCAGCGATCAGCAAATCGCTGATTGTGACTCATAGAAAGCAAAATTTACAGGTTTGATGTTTCAAACGCATACTTTGTAACTTCTTCTTGTAAGTTACAAGTAAAATATGCCATCATACCATCTTTTGGTTTTATTATTCTGAAAAACGTTATTTTAGCTGAAATGAGTATTTGCAACCTAGGTTTGAATAATTTTCCTGAAGTTTTTAGAGCTTCCCTGAAATTCAATGAACTTCTCTGCAAGTTGTTGAATTTCTCTGCTTCTTTGGAGGAACATCTTTAAAGTTTTCGTAACTTTCCTAAAATTTAATACAGTTCCCTATTGTTCGCAAAATTTACTAAAAAATCACTGAACCTTCCTGAAAGTTTTCTTAGGAAAAATATTGGAATTGCAATGAAGCTCTAGCAATTCTGTAGTAATTCAATGTGGGGGCTACCTAAACTCACTGCGCAAGAGTGGCTAATCTCATGTGAGCTTAATTCCTGTATAATCGACATTATCGGTTAAATGATTTTCGAAAAAAATCGTCATGGTTGTCAGAATTTATTTTCGATCTCTCCGTTGAGTCAAACATCTCTATTTATTTTTAAAAATCTTAGCAAATTTTCCACCCCTCAGGATGTTTTGGTGACAAATGCCATCTTCGACACCTACTGAGTACGGGATACAAAACTTCCGGATACCTGTCATATCCTTTATTGAACTTTTTTTACAGAGCAGCTTTTTTGAAGCACATCAAGCGAACTTTGTATTTTCTTCATGAGATTTTTAAATTCTACACGATACATTTATAAAAAAACACTCAAAACAGGACTAAAATCAATGCCTACTATGAAAACGTGGATGTCACTAATTGTCCTGCTCGTTTTTTTTTTCTCTTTTACTCTTATGAGGGAAGAGAAATTAAATAAGATGTGGTGTTTTAAACAAATATAAAATGATTTTGCGCAAAGTCGACAAAACCAATATGGATCTTACTTACAACGAGAACTTCTTTAATGCCATTTTGATTAATGCAATCAATTTTTGAACCTTATTTAACTGCATTTTTTTTCAATTCATAGTAGTTTTGTGTGGCCCATAGTCCATATTCGTCTTCATAATCGGCTATTTTAACTTCAAAACACGTTTTCTCAAAAAACCCAAGATAAAATATTTTAAAAACGTCACAGATTTGATTGTTATGATCAACACTAACAGCCTTTGAAGAAAAATCTGAGGTACATGAATGTTGCAAAACAAGTTCCTTCAGACATAGCGTGAACCACACAATACAAGAAATAAAGATCATTTAAAGTCAAAAAAAAAAGAAGAAACGACTATCAGTTATTCTCTACCGAAGCGAACAGCTAAACTATGGCACCGAAAACCAGTGGAAAGGCCGCCAATAAGTCCGGAAAGGCGCAGAAAGTCATCGTCAAGGGAGAGAAGAAGAAGATGAGACAGTGCAGGAAAGAAAGCTATGTCATCTACATCTACAAGGTGTTGAAGCAGGTCCACCCGGACACCGGAGTCTCGTCGAAGGCCATGAGCATCATGAACAGCTTCGTCAATATGACATCTTCTAACGTATTCCTGCTGAGTCGTCCCGTCTGGCTCAATACAACAAACGCTCGACGATCACCTCCCGCGAAATCCAAAGTGCTATCCGTCAGCTGCTGCCGGGTGAGGTGGCCAAGCACGCTGACTCTGAAGGAACCAAGGCCGTCACCAAGTAAATTAGTTCCATCCAAACAATCAATCGGCCCTTTTCAGGGCCACAAATCGATTTCCAACGTGAAAGAGTTTTTGATGATTTATTGAACTTTTAAATGTTCGAAAGCAGCGTTAGCAAAGTTCGCGACAAGAAATCAGTTGATTTGCCTTATGAAAATAATGTTGACAAAAAGAATAAGAGGTTGCATCCATCCGTACGGTTTTGACGGAGGACGTCTGTGATTTCTATATGGGGGTACACATTGTGAAAACCGAATATGGAACATGAATTAATTGTGACACAGAGCATGGATGGCGAACAGACCGAGCAGATAGGCCTCGCTGAATTCCTGTAGGGCCATTAACGGCCGAGCTCTGGAAGCGCAGATCGGTCTTGAAGTCCTGGGCGATTTCACGGTCCAGACGCTTGAAAGGCAACTTGCAGTCAGCAGCTCGGTCGATTTCTGGTAACGACGGATCTCACGCAGAGCGACTGTTCCTGGCCGGTAGCGATGAGACTTCTTCATTCCTCCATCTGTTTGGAGGGAACCCTTTCCTCCGATGGACTTACGAGCGGTCTGCTTGGTGGATGTGGTGATGTAGATACGTTGAACGCAATCTGTTGAATAAAATTTTTAATTACCCAGCACAATCATGGGCATTGGCTCCAAGCAATATTTCATCAGATTCAAGACAAATCTGTACGATAGCAAATAGAACAGAAAATGAAAATATAGAAAAGAGGTAAGGAAAATAATTAAAATATGGTTCAGATTAATACCTGGCTGAAAAAAGATACACATTACCATTTATTATATAAGACCACGTAGTCCTACGTCACCATTGCGTACAACCCCATAGGGCTGTCCCTTGTAGTTTTTTAAACTTTTGGAGGTATTGTATTCCCCTGAGTTTGTTGTACTCCATTATTATAGTAATCTCTCAATACGCGAAATCTCTTATATATGCGGTTATAGCATTTGAGTTAACTTATTTCTTAGTGTTCAAGTACTTACATTTGTAAACAGCAGTCAATGTTAATCTATGAACTAAACCCTACGAAAAAGGGATCTTTTCTTATGTGGTATTGATGCATGTTTAACATTTCGCGGCCGTCAGAATCAACGCGCCTACGTCTACGGAGCTTACGCAGAAGTGATACGCAATTCGGTAGAGCTTGTCAAGCACTTTTGAGTTTATGTAGTATAGAATTTGTTCGGTGCGGTCCCGAAATCTTGAAATGATTGATACGTTCTTTAAATTAACTAATTTGATACAAAGCACACTAGTATATAAGTAGAATATCTAGGGAGGAAACCAAAATTAATCAACTTGCCAACATAGGCTACCACATTTATTTTGGTGGCACTCTTTAAATGATAATAAACCTTTTTTTCTCGCTTCGGTTGTCTCGCACGGCTTTTGGAATTCGCGCGGTTTTCGTAACTTACCTAATTTAGATATTTCGTTCGAAACGGATTTGCTTATTATATCGGTTTACTACACGGATGTATCTACGCGCACACGTCACAGCATATTTTCTATAACTATCTTGAAACAATACACACGGAATCCAGTGTTCAAGCGGTCAACATAGGCTAGTCCTTCTGCTGTATTGTCAAAGATAGAAGCAAAATTTATTCAAATGGGTCAAGTCTTGAAAACTAAGCTGTCACGCAGCTCCAGCTTGATAGCCAATAAAAAAACAGCAGTATTATAAAATCTTAAACAAGCGGCAAGCTCAGAATACTGCCTCGACAAGATAAATCCTAAATCCTTTTATAGAAAACGAAACTAAACCACACAGCTTAATAATATTCACTTGTAGCATTAATATTATTTTTTAACGAAATTTACCAACCGACTGACTTTGTATTTTGAAAATAGGGCAGTGGGTGTTCAATTTTGTTTTTATTTTATTTACTGTGCTTCTTCACTAATGGAAAACCTTTCACGAAGCTCGATTCGTACTCGCGTTATTGTCAACTGGGTGAAAGAATCCGAAGACAGCACAAAAAGTGTTCGGAAGCCGGGAGGCACCACCACAAGAGAAAAACAAATCAACAACCGAAGGAGGCAGAGAGGATAAACAGCTCGTCTCGAAGCAAACTCATTTAGAAGTTTCGTCCTACTTCCCCTTAAGTTCTGCTGGCTTCATCTGGAACTATCCACGGGAAGTTTTCACAGAGTTCCTCTGGAAATTGCATTCAACTTTTCCCGGCTGTTTGCTTCTAAGTTCCCGGAAGCTGCAGCTAGCTTCCTCCGGAAGTGTCTTCTGGCACCTCTGGATAGGTTCTTCCCATTCCCCGTAAGGAAATCGAAAATTTCCTGGGCTGTGTGGTCACTTTTAGAACAAATAAAGGAATTCTTGGGAAGTCAAACTAGTTCCCCGGGACTTTAGAAATGTGAATTTGGGTAAATTTCCAGGGACCTAGGAAACAATAATTTTAACTGCATGACCTCCCAAAAAATGAGTTCGTAGGCCATCCTGCCTAAAAAAAAACGGACACCAAACAAATGATAGTCATTGGAGACGTATTGCAAAAATTTAACCCATACTGTGGAAGCTTCTGAAGATAAAACACAGAAATTAACATGCTGAATGGATTTTTCGGATAAACCATAACTCACTGATTTTCTTGCTGAAATTGTATATGCTCAAAATACTTAACATACTGTAAATGCACACATTTCTATGGAGCCAGCGTAGTAGTCGTCGTGGGTGCCGTAAGGCAGGCCTGACGTTCCTGATCGAAGTTCGTACCGGCGGTACAACTTTTCACCAGATAGACAAACTTTGCTCCCGATAAGTAGCACTGATAATACTTGCTGGCATCCGAGTGCTGGAAATTACCCGCCTTTGGGCATGTAAAAACGCAAGACGTACCGTCGAAGTTGGAATAGGGCGCACACTGCAGCATGCTGATGCTCGTCACAACATCTGCTGTGAACCGACAGTATGCAAAGTACTGCTTGCTAGTGCCATAGTTGGAGAAAATTTTATTCTGATCACACTGGACCGTAACGCAATCCGTGGCGTAAATCTTCTGCTTGCACATATGGGTTACAGCATTGTAAACGTAATTCGGGGGGCACTCGTGCACAGACGAAGCCTGATCGATTCCTTCGCAGTAGTGGTAGATTTGACAATTATTGGGATCTGATGAGGTAAGAAGAAGAAGAAGTATGAGATCTACTTAAATTGAAACATCATCATGTGCGTAATTCACCTGGGTAAAATCCAACACCAGTGCAGGTCATCGAAGGTGGAAAGCATTGTTCTGAGCTATCTGGCGTGGCAGAGCAGGCACCGTTCACGCAGAAAGGAGTGCTCGGCGAAGCTACCTTGCAGTCTTTGTTATCATAATTCGACCCTAAGCACACCAATACGTTGTTGCAATCACTGCACGAGGAATACGCGTTGACACCGTCGCACGATGCGGTAAATGCAAATGAACTTATTGATTGATATGATGCACGACTTACTAGCCTTCCTGGAACTTCCAGCTGAGCTACCGAGAGCGAGAGCAACGCAGCGAAAAGTAACACTTGGAAGGCCATTTTCACGGATATTTTAATATGAACTGTGCTTTGCTAGGGCTTTTATAGTAGCTTGAGGTAGTAATTTGCTTACGATGAAAATTTTAATTAAGTGGCATAAATTAACTTCTGAAAGGTCTGTTGACGAATTACGTTACGCATACAAATCTTAGCGATAACATCCTCCCTTTTCCTGCAGTTGATACAGTGAAAAGTTCGCTACTGAAACTCCCCACCCTCTCCGCATTAGAGCATTACGCTAGTTGCGAACAGGCCGTAAGTGCGTCATGTTTCATTGATAAGAGATTTTCGCCAAAAGCCAAAACGTATTCAAGGTCATTTTTCCGAAACTACTGCAGGCTGAAGGTGGTTTTCGCAAATAAGATACGAGTTAAGCAAACATTTATGAATTTTATGACCAGCGTGGTTTGGGGCCCACAATCACCTTATCTATGCATACAATTATTCCTATTTGATTCTAAAGCCGGGCTAATCTAGGTGTGCTTCGAGGAACTCAGAAGAGTGTGAAGAGTTAGATCTCAGCAGAAAAAATTGTGATCTCTTGGATTTGTTTTTTTTTTAGTATCTCTGATAGATTTTAATGTCACAATTTCAGGATAATGCGACGAATTGAATTTTGTACATTGGGGACTCAGTGAGTTAAGGCACGATATTATCAAGCCGGAGGCGGTGGATTCCCAGTCCCGTCGAGGAAATCTTTCGAGTTGGGAAATTTCTAGACTTCACTGGGCAAAGACTGAGTGTATGAAAAAGTGCAGCAAATTGTTAAGATGTTCAGCAATATTTTTAGAACTTTAGCGAACTTCTAAGAAGTTAATTTAAATTCGTAGAAGTGCAGTTAATTCTGTAAAAATTCACAAAATTGTGTAGATGTTCATCGAAGTTTGAAGAAGTTTAGCGGATTTTGTAGAACTGAATTGAACTTGTCGAAAATTTAGCGTCAGATACATTTTCAGATAAATTCTTCGATGTTCACATCAATCCAAGCACGAGAAAATAGCTTATTGATATCAAGCTCAGGTATGAAAATAGCATAACTGGCGAGTCTTACATAATGAGCATGCGTATGAGCATTGACGACCTTACGTTTTAGTAGTTGCTACTCCGTGATTGACCGTATTTAGCGAAATTTCCACAAAGAATCCTATGAATGGGGCTTGAGATTAGCAATACATTCTCAGCGTGTAAAATCCGTTGAATCCTTATTTTTGAGGTCAATAACGGGACCGGCCACGTCCTTACGGTCATTGGAGAAGTAAAGGATTGTTATTTCTGTAGAATCGTGATCTGCACTTGTACTTTTGGATTATGGACGGTAACCAGAAACACAACTTACTGTAGAGAAAGTTCCACTTCGAATAAATTTATTCTCCCTTTCTCCTCTCTTGTTTTTTTAACCCTTTATTTGTTCCAAATTCAAAATAAATTACATTTCATTTTAACCAAGATGCTCCAGTTACTA